GTACATCTATCTGTACCATCTAAAATGGCTTTCTCCAGTGTTCTGGCCAGGTTTCTGGTTTTTGGAAGACCACTTCTCTCTATTTACTCTCAGAATTGGAGGATTTCAAATGCATTTTTTGTTTGTTTTCAAATGCATTTTTTTTTGTTTGTTTTTTCAAGACAGAGTTTCTCTGTGTGGAGGAGGCTGGCCTCAAAGAGATTCACCTGCCTCTATCTCCCAAGTGCTGGGATTAAAGGTGTTCAGCACCATGGCCTGTTCAAATGGATTTTTAAATAGATGACACTGGAACAATTACATAGTCGATTGGGAAAAGTTAAAATTAGATCTTTGCTTTATACCAGATCTATGAATCTAGTCTAGTGGGTCGGGGGTTTAAATGTCAAAAATAAAATCACATGAATTCTAAGAAAACAGCAGTGTGTAACATGAGTGTGGGGAAGGACTGCCTTGCCAGGTCATTAGTCTAGAGTCTGTTTATAAAGTTGTTTCTAGCCGGGCGTGGTGGCGAACACCTTTGATCCCTGTACTCAGGAGCCAGAGGCAGGTGGATCTCTGTGAGTTCAAGGACAGCCAAGGTTCTATTACACAGAGAAATCCTGTCTTAAAAAAACAAACAAAAAACAAATGAAGTTGTTCTTTTCTGCTTTCCATGGTTTTTTGAAAGAAAGTTACTATGTGCATTCAAAGACTAGTAAATTAAGTTCTCCCCCCTTGATGTATCTATGTAGTTATGTATGTTTTTGAATCTGTGTTATAGACTTGTCCTACTTATTAACTGCTATCATTGTGGACTCGTGCATACAAGGGTTATAATCTAGTACAATTTTGTTGCCCAGGCTGTTTCAGCTTTGGCACTGGGTGTCCATCAGTGTGCTGTGTACAGTAATTAAAATAAAGAGAAACTAGTGATAGCTTAGGTTCTTACTCAGGTAGGGTATGATATGCTCAAGAGGCAGAGGCAGGAAGATCAGGAGTTCAAGGCCAGCCCCAGTTACACCGTTAGCTGGACTTGGTGACACATATCTTTAATATCTTTAATCGCTGTACTCAGAAATGTGCCATGAGTAGAACCAGATAATTATAACTTTATTCCAGATGAGTCACACCAAAGGGAAGGATGACTGAAGTCAAATAATTTGAACATAGGCTAAGGATGGAGGTACTGTTGGTAGAGTGTGGCTTTGGCAGTGGCCAGCAATTTGAAAAGTGCCTTCCACGTGTTCTGCGTACCCTAGAGTTGAGCAGTAAGAAACTGCTTTCAGAATGACACCACACTGGAGCAGCATCACTGGAGCCTGACAGCCACTCATGCTCACAGTACAACTGAGCCCCCAGCTTTGCATCTGATGTAACTGGGACGTGCCATATGTGCATTTTGATAGAATTTGTGCTAAAGTTGCAACCTTCTGCCTTTTCCTACACTCTCCAAGGATGCTGGGTATGTACCACACACTGCCTCAGTAGTTTAATTGATAGGATGGTAGACCAAGTTGTCTAGCTTCTGGCCCCAATATGTGTAGCTGTTTTAATCTTTCTCTGTTATGAGGCTATCACTCTGGTTATTCCTTTACATGCGGGGATTCTGCAGTGCTCTGTGGTCCTCTTGAAGTACAAGGCCCCTTCATCTCTGCAGAGCCTGCCTTGCTGTGCTTTCATCATTTTCCCCATGTTTTATGGTTTTTCTGTGGTCTTTGCAACCACATGTCATTTCCATGGCCGTCAGTATCTGCAGACTGCCTCTGATCTACTGGCCTGTTTTGCCTACATTTGTCAGCAAGACTCAAATCATCTACACTTAAAGTACAGAATGTAAAGCAGCTGCTTTCCTCAAAGCCACTTGCAAGTCCTTAGTGTTGTTTTTTTTCTGATTTATAAAGGCAATATTTAAGTAATACATGTCTTTGTAGACAGTCTGAAAAACTCAAGAAAGCAGCAAGGAAACAGATGCTACTATTCCTTTGCCACCCAGAAATAAAGTCACTAAGAATAGGCTTTACCAGGCATTTTTTTCTTATCTCTGTGTTTCCCCCTTTTTCGGGAAGTCTTCCTATTAACATTAAAAGACTCACATCTTTCTCTTGCTGAGAACACAAACACATAACACCTTCCAGTAATCCCAGGTTATAGGGCAGACTGGAAGGAGTGTTTGCTTTTTTTCTCTTTCAGTTTATTTTTTCTGCTGCTCTGGAGGATGTTGAATCAGCTGAGGTCACTGGTGAGTTAAAGATAGCCACATGGTTAAACTCAGTGGCTATCTTCAGCCACCTCGCCTCTCCATTTGATCCCTTTTGCAACCTTGTCTCTTCCCTGGTTTTACTTAGTCTTGACTATGCTTGGTCTCCTTTGCAGTCTACCTTAAGCCTGTTTCTTGGCTATACCTCCTGAGAAATTTTTCTGTGATTTGGGCAACTGAAATCTCTAGCTCAAACATTTTATTTATTTATTTATTTCTGAATTCTGTTTACCTCTACTCTACATTAACTCCTTGGATTAGCTGTTCTACAAACAAATTCAACTTGTCCAGACAGATTCAGCTCTTTTTAAACTGTTCCCCCTTTTCTGTCTTAGTGAAATCTCCTCGTCAAAGCCAGAAACCGGTGTTGTCTCTAATTCTATCTGCCCTGTTTCTCCCCAGCCTCTGGGGACATCTGCTGTCACTCTTGTGGAAGGGTGAGAGTGAGCAGAACAGATAAGTACTTAGATTATTGGGGGAGTTTTCAAGTATTTAAATTTAATAATATTATTGTTGTTGTTGTTTTTTGAGACAAGGTTTCTCTGTGTAACAGTCCCAGCTGTCCTGGAACTTGCTTTGAAGACCAGGCTGGCCTCCAACTCACAGGGATCAGCCTGCCTTTGCCTCTTTGAGTGCTGGGATTAAAGGCATGTGCTACCACTGCCCGGCTTCAAGTATTTAAATTTATATCAAAATTCTATGTCTATTTTATTGAGTTCTTTGACAGTTTCATATATGTACACAGTACTTTCTGTTTATTCTCACCCCTCATCCTCGAATACCTCTATTGTCCCTTCTCACCGATCTCTTCCCCTTCATGCTTTTTTTTGTTTTGTTTCATCACCATTGATTTTAACCAAGACCACCCATGTGCTTCTCCTGATGACAAATTCTTGGGACCCTCCCACTCCCCCCAGATGTCCCTGAACTAAAGCACTGTTGTATAGAAATGGTTTCAATTTTGTCTTTACTCTGCAATGAGAGCAGGGTTAGGGTTCACTTCGTTCACTGCTGATACCGTGGTGCCTGGTATACTTTCTATAAAAGATGCTCAGATACCAGCTCATGAGTTACTCCTTTGGGTTGGTTTCTAGAATACACATCCAGTACTAGCAGGTACAAGGAAACTTCAGTCCACAGGTACTTTGTACAGTTCCCCTTGGGTACTTGGGCTTGACATTTCCACTTCACAAAGTTTAATTCTCATTTGGGCTTAGCTAATGTGGAGGTGAAAGGAGAAAAGTTAGCTTTTATCTTAGATTTTAAGAACAAGATGTGTGTATACAGGGAAGCTGCAGAGATGCTCAGTTGGCAAAAGCTAACTTCAAGTGTGAGGGCTGAGTTCTGAGGCAAGCGCCTGTGTGAAAGCTGGCACAGCCGGGCCTGTGATAGGCCTGGGCAGGGGATCCCTGGGGCTTGCTAGCCAGCCAGTGTAGCCCAATTGGAAAACTCCAGGTTCAGGAAAGACCCTGACTCAAAAAATGAGGTGGAAAGAGATTGAAGAAAACACCAACATGTATAGATGTATATACACGTGTGTGTGTGTGTGTGTGTGTGTGTGTGTGTGTGTGTGTGTGTGTGTG